TCCTGTAGCACTCCCAGGCTTATTAGGTGGATGAAAATTCCTACCTAATAAATTGTGGTCAGACAGGTTGTCTGTTCTCAAACCCTGTTTCCTGGTAAGATGTTATCAATGACAATCCTTGCCTGAAACTTCATTAGCAGTTTTAATTTCCCCTCATCCTGTGGTCCTGTGATCTCGCCCTGCCTCCATTTGCTTTGTGATATTTTATTACCTTGTAAAGTATGTGATCTCTGTGACCCACACCCTATTTGTGCACTCCCTCCCCTTTTGAAAATTGCTAATAAAAACTTACTGGTTTTACGGCTCGGGGAACATCACAGATCCTGCCGACATGTGATGTCTCCCCCGGACACCCAACTTTAAATTTCTCTCCCTTCTGCTCTTTCCCTTTATTTCTCAACCCAGCCGAGACACTTAGGAAATAGAAAAGAACCCATGTTAAACATCGGGAGCGGGTTCTTCTGATAGCCTACCATGAGTTTACCCTCTGCAACCTCACAACAGGTATAGAAATTCTAGCGTGTAAGACTAGTGATGCCCTTACCCTCCTCAAAGTCTCCCTAGACTCACTAGCCAACACTGTGCTTGATAATCGTCTGACTTCTGATTACCTCTTGGCAAAAAAAAAGGTGAGGCACGTGTGGTCACCAGCTCTTTCTGTTGTGCTTGGGTAAGTAATTCAAGATTAACAACAACAACAAAAAGACATTAAAATCATCTACAACCAGGCCAAGTGGTTGCACCAATTTAACCAAAAGGGCACAGACCCTCAAGGAATATGAAAATGATAAAACAGGCCAGCCCTGATTTCACCTGATTTTTACCCTAACTGGGCCCTTTAGCTACCATCCTACTTATCTTGATCTTCAGGCTCTTTCTCTTAAACTGTCTGGTCTCTTTTATGTATAAGCAAATCAAGGCCATACAGTGTTATAAAAAGGTAGGCTTATACCCAGGAGATAACCAGACCTATCTAAGACTAGCTAGGGAAAAAATTCACTCCTCTAACAGGCCCCATATTGTCAAAGGTGTTCGAACCAGAGTGACTCCATTTTGACTGAGGGCTAGGAAAATGAGGCTGGGCCTTGATAGGCTGCATTCTCAGAAATTTAGGCATTCTTAGCCTCTAGATGTTTATGGTAAGGGAACAAACTAATAATGTTTACTACACAGACCCAGATTTGGGAGTGTCCAGATCTCCCAATATCTGGCAAACAAAGGCATTCCTAATTTTGTCTTAAAGATAATAATACCGATTCTTGCAAAATATAGTAATTAAGAAAATTAATCCTTTATCACAAACCCTTGTAGCAGAGCACATCTCCCCATATACACAAGCATTGTACTTAGAGTGGACACATTCCTCCTCTTACTTTCAGAAACGTCCTACTCTGTCTATGGAGTATCTGTCCTTTCACCACTTTACCTCTCTTAATAAACTTACTTTTGCTTTACACTGTGGACTTACCCTGAATTCTTTCTTGCACAAGATCCAAGAACCCTCTCTTGGGGTCTGGATTGGGACCCCTTTCCTGTAACAATATTAACATCCAACTTCAGATTGAGGAAGTTGTAGAAGACAGACTTTCACCCCTCAGCACCCTTCAAGAATGAGGAGTGAATATACAGAAAAAGGGGAACTTGTTATCTAGTGTAATGCCTACATGACATAGCTGAATTTCTACCCTGCCTTAACTCTGCTTAAGAAACAGAACACCTGTGATAAAAAACAGTTCCCTTTGTAACCAGACCAGCTGAGACAGGTTTAAACCAAGATAGCCAACCAAAGGACTTCAAAAGGACCTCAGGCCTCATTATAATCTCATTTCCATGCTAAATGACCATTGCCAATCCCCATGACACAACTGGAAGACGGCATAGGAGGACAAAAATGAAGCAGCACTCTGGTTCTGGGAAGTTGACTACCTATTTCTGGAAAAGACATGAATATTCCCTCCCCTTGCTTTTAATGTCCAACCTCCTCATTAAATAAATCCTATATTTTAATCCCCTCACCCTTCATTAGTGGAGAAGTTGAGTTGTGAGTCATGTTACTACTTCTCAGTTCCATGGTCTGCACTGCTTAATGCTGACTTTTGGTTTTGGGTATTGGTACCGTGACTCCAAACAAGGAAAGATCCCATCTTCTGGGAGAGTGGCTTTGTCAGTAACATGAATATCAGGGAGGAGAAGCTGAAATCATTGGAAGCTATGTCAGATGCTGCTAACAACAGAATCCTTTGGTCAACTGCATTTCTCATAGTTGGTGGTCTCCAAGGTGCAGTCATATGATCTTCACATTAAATTCAGGACAAAAGAAAATGATTTAAATAGACAATAAGCCAGAAGAAATTCTTCAGAAGGCTTGAAAACAGAAAATGTGAGAAAATGATTAAGAAGCATGGAGTACCCAATAAGAAAATCTAATGTATGTTTAATTTGAGCACAAGAAGACACAGAAAATGGGACCAAGGAAATGTTTGAAAAAATTGTGACTCAGAATGCTCAGGATTAATGAAAAATCCAATACATAGAAACAAAAAGACTAACAAATCCCAATGGAATAAATAAAAATTAACACCTAGAATATCTTGAAAAATAAAATTAATTAAAATTCATAACAAAAAGATGTTCTTAAAAACAGGCAAAACAGCCAAAGGAAAAAATATATAGATTAGATGCATAAAACTGAAAGTCAAATGGTCAGCTTCCTTCTTAATGGCAAAAATGAAAATTAATAGATTATGAAATGTTATAACTAATATATGAAGGTCAACTAAGAATCAACAATTCTATGAAAAAAGAAAATGTCTTTCAAACAAAAATTCTGAAAGTTTATCATCAGGAAAACTTTGGTAAAGGTTATGCTAAAGGATCTATTTCAGCCAGAAAGTACTCTTAGATGAAAAGTCTAACATTCATGAAGAAAAAATAAAAATAGTTATTTTGTGGGTAAATTTAAAAAATAACCTTGACTACTTAAAACAATAATAATGTACTTATCTGTTATACAATGAAATATTCAGCAACAGTAACAAATATTTAATTCAGAAGAAATGTAATAACTAGAGTAAAATTTTTCTTAGTTCCTTTTATTGTCCAGCAGGATAACAGTATCAGTTGTTTTTTAGAGTCTGACAACATTAGGTTTTCCTGTGGCAATTAATAGGATTTCCTACTAAAAGAATAGAAATAAAATTGTAATACTCAAATTCAAGAAATAATAAAATAATAATAAACATGAAAAAAGGCAATAAAAAAGAAAAAAATACAACAAATGTGGCAAATAGAGTAAGTTATGTGGTGGTTTATATCCAAATATATTAGTGATTCATGAATGCACTTAATGGTCCACCCTTGAAAATATTTTCAAACTGAAAAAAATGTGTCTACATGGTGTTTATAACAGATATATCTAAAATATAAAAACTTCAAAGTATTGAGATTAATTGAAAATATTAATCAAAAGAAAGCTAGTACAACTGTATTAATGCCTTGATTGAGTTTAAGCAAAAATATTCCAAGAGTCAAAGAAGGTCAATTCATAATGATAAAAGAGGTTAATTTGTATCCCAGGAGGATATAACAACTTCAAATTTGCATGCACCTGAGAATATAGACTCAAAATATAGGAAGCAAAAACTGATAAAAATAATTATGTACACAAGTGAGCAATTATAGACGCTCCTCAATACTTGACAGAAAAAGTTAAAAAAAAAAATTAATAAACGGAGCAATGCTTCTCAAACATCACCTTGGAGTCTTTTAAAAGTGTAGATTCTCATTTAATAGGTCGGTGTTGAGTCTAATTTTCTGAATTTTGAATGAACACCTGGATAATGTTAATGTTGTGGTATAAAGATTAACCTCCATGCTTAGTAAACTTGATCTAATGGAAGAGTAACAACAGTACACTCAACAAGTAAAGAATGAATGTTATTCTCAATGACACAAGGAATACATGCCAAAAAATGCCATCTTAATTAAGACTAAACAATTTTCATGGTTTGAAACTATATACATTTTTCTCTGGAAAAAAAAAAACTATATACAATTCAACTGGAAAGCGATAATAAAAATTAATTAGAACTCAATATATAAATTTTTAAAATACATATTTCTTAATAACCCATGGGTCAAAGAAGAAATCATGATAAAAATTAGAAAATATATCCAATTGATCAAATATAACTAATCAGGTTAGTTATAAAAGAGATCTATTTATCAACTAAATAGATAATATTTAATTACATGTTGAAATATACATTGGATGTGAGGAAATATAAACACCGTAAGAAATGAATGTTATCTAAGTTGTGGAATTTTGTATAAATTGTATTGATTTTGCTTATATGTATATGACTCTAACTCCCATAGTGACTATAAATTCTTTTATACTAAATCATTGATCAGTTTGAATAAATAAAAATACTATATCACACAGAATCATAAAGAAGTTATAGTCAACAAAAGGAACTGAAAGAATATCAGAAAATAAATACATCAGGGACAAATGTAGAAAATAAAAAACCCTCAATAAATAATATACCAAAAATATGTAATCTATATATTTAAATATTTCATTTTATTAGTAATCAAATAAATTCAAGTTGAAATATTACATGCTAAGTATATAATTAATTTATTGATATCTAATTTGTTTTTAATCATATCCCATACTGAATTTTTTTTAATAGTTACTTTTGCACACGTTGTAGGTATATTTATTGTTATAAGATGTCCTCAGGCAATTTGGCAATATATATGAAGAGCTTTAAGATGACACAGAAATATAGTACTTTGGAGATTTATACATACATAATTTTACATATATGAAATATACATCTTTTTATTTATATATAAACTTGGTGATGAGACAGGTATGAATAATTTAAAATTTTATTTTTCTCTTAAAATTTTCTGTATAGAAATATATATTACATTTTTACTTAATATTTAATTTCTAAATGCTATAATTAGTGTTTGTGAAAAATTCTTACTTGTAGGCCTCTATGCTTTTTTCATCCTGGTGAATATCTTTATCCATCTCTTCTTTAATTTGCTGAGCCTTCAGTCTGGCATTTTCACAGGCTTCTAAAGCTTCTTCAAGTTCTTCACAAACTTTTCTGTGTAGGTCCATTACCTAGAAATGAAAACATTTTTGCTTACATTTGCACTTAATGGTTAATTAAAAATAATAACTTTAACTTAGTGTAGTATTGATTTAGATTAAAAGTTCTTTAGAAACATGTTCTCCCACATTCAACCTATTGTTTGGTAAGTGTAATTTCAGCCCTGACAGGCATTAACGCTGGGAATGTATAAATGTTACTGAAGAAAATAATTTCAATATCCAAGTTAACATGTCCAAAATGAAATCATTATGTCTTCACTCATAAAAATATAATTTTATTACTCAAATAATACTTTATTATTTAAAAAGTCAGAAAACAAAGATGAACAATGACAAAGTCACCTGTACTCCTCTCCACTAAGAAAAACCATTATTCTTAGGTTGGTGCAAAAACAATTGTGGTTTTTGCCATTAAAAGTATGCACCAACCTAATATCTTAGTGTAATACTTCAAAATATTCAGTTTTTACTCTTTTTACTGATTAAGAAGCATCATACTAATCTCGTGTTTTACTAACAAACATCATACTAATGCTCGTGTCTTCATCTCTTCCTTCTGTCTCTCTCTGTATATCACTGTATCACATTACTTTTACTTAGTATTCCCTTATATCACACATACTCATGATTTAACTCATTGTCAATTATATGAGCATTATGCACAGTTTGACATGCACAACATATGTATGAGGGACACATAACATGAACAGTACTATGATGAACCATGTAAGGAAATTGCACAATCTATAGTTATACTGCATGTTCTTGAATATTTTCTTCAAACGTACTGTTAAAACAGAATTTTCTGAGTCATAAGGTATTAGCAAATATTTTAAGAATGTTGATTAATATTGGTTGCCAAATTACTCTCCAGAATAAGGGGTAACAGTTTGTATTCTCACCAGTGGAACAGAAGAAAGTCCATGTTTGAAAACTCTTTCCAGCATTTTACATTACTTTTTTCTAATAATATTATTTAAATTGACAGGCCAAAAGGTTATTGTGTAAATTTTACCAGAATTTGATGGCTGTTTCTATAACAATTTTGGAATGATTGACATTTTTACTATAAGCCTTCCCGTCTTAGAATATATTATGTGTCTAAATTAATTGTCTCTTTATTTTCTTCAATATGATTTCATAATTATAGTCTTAAATGTCTATATCTTTATAAATTTCGTCATCAATATTTAATGACTCTGCTAGTAAAGGAGTTTTCTGTTTATATTTTTAACTATTTATTTAAAGTATGGAAAAACTTTATTCATGCTAGTAAAAGTATGTTGTATTGGATGGTTTAGTTTTGGTGGATACAAATTTATTTTGAAAACAACAGTCTTCTATTTGATGTTTTAATTATAATAATATTAAAATAATTTTATTTCACAATTTTTAAATGTATATCTTTTATTTCATTTTATTGTCCTATTACATAGGAAAAATCCTCTAAATGATGTTAAATTGTAATAGGGATGTCAGGTTTACCTGATTTGTTCCTATTATTACAGCTTTAGCATTTTAGTGATTAATATGGATGCTTGTGTGAAATAGTTCTTTATTTAAATTAAGGTATTTTTTAAATTTTAATTTTTTATTACAATTGCCAGTTTTTGAATAATGAATACATCTTAAGCATCTTTTGATAAAATTCTATTTTTTAATCATGTTGATACAATAAATTACATACCTAGATTTTCTGCTGTTAAACCATTGGCACATTGTTATAATAAATTTTTTTGGAGTGATATACTTTTCTTTTCTTATATTGAAGAATTCTTTGGCAAATATTTTATATAATTTTTCAAATATGTATTTATTGGTAACTTATATATGTAATGTTATTTTTGCAGAATTTCCATAAAGTTTTGGTATTGAAATATATCACCTTCATTTAATTAAAACATTTCCCTCCTCTTCTTTGGACTAAATATTTAAAACAATATTGGAATTATTCATCTTTTACAGGTTAGATCATATGCAACTGCAGTATCACCAGCTTTAGGGTTTATTATTAAGTGTAATAATTTGATATTTTATTTTTGAGTTTCCCTTTGATACTAGAATAATATCTACATACAAGATTTTTCTTGTGGTTAAGGTATTTTCGTAGTATAATTTTCTTTTTAGTTTTATGGGATGGTGATCTTACAATGCATCTTTTGAAGTTTATCCTTTCTAAATTTTCTTAAGTTTATTTGTTGAAGTAAAACTTACATAGTATAGAATGGGACAAGTTAAAGTGTACAATTCAGTGGCATTCGGTACATTCAATGTTGTACCAACATGACCCTTTTCTAGTTCCAGAACATCTTCATCATCCCAAAGGGAAACCCTGAACTCATTAAATGGTTACTCCCTAGTCTCCCCTTCCTGTTTTAAAAGATTCTCCTGGTGGGAAGATGCAACGCAGTGAAACTGGGCTAGATGAAAGGCAGAATTCTGTTACTTACAGCTCCAAAGGAGAGATGGCTACCAGGTAGGGCCGTGTTAGGGGTTTCAGCTGGGGACAGGTTAGCAGCAAGCTGGAGCTATAGGGGACAGCTTATGGGTGGCAAGCAGTGGAGGTAGGTAGCTAAATTTCAGAAGATCTCTGTGGAGTGGCTAATTTTAATCATTTCAGTAGACTCTGAAGTACAGTGGGTTTCACTACTTGTTTGGGGCCTCTGTTGAGAATAGGGTGGGTACATAGTGGCGTGGAATGTGAGGGCCCAGGAAGGGGTTGGAGATGTGGGTTTAATCAGCTTCTCAAGAAAGGGAGGGCCAGCGTTTAGCCACGGCCTCAAAACTGAGTAAGACAACACAACACATTGTGTACTCTAAGAAGTAAAATACGTGCCTTGGCTACTCTGTCATGCCTGGAACTCTGGAGGGGCTGAGTGTCCTTGCAAGCCTTGTTTTATGGCCTTAGCATATCTAGAGACATGTGGGACCTTGATTTATATTTTGGGTATCTATGAGGCAAGGGCTTCCCAGAGTTGTTTACTCTAAAGGGGCAACTCTTTACTTCCCACTCTGTATCCTGTTGCTTTGGGGATTTTTTTCAATTCTTTTTTTCTTGTTTTGGGCTTCTAGTTACCATCTTTGTCTGCTAACTTATATTGCATACATTCTCGGTTACAGAAAAAGGGGATTTAGCAGCCCTCTGGCCTAACTTGAAGGCAGCCTTCTCTCTCATTCCAAGGCTTCCAGTCTACCTCCCAGGTATTGGGGTGTGCACTTAAAGAGGTATAGCAGACTCCCTTTGTGAAAACCCAATTAGCCCAAAGTATCAGTCCTTTCACATGTTGTAATGCAGCAGCATTTACTAAAGCCCAAGCACACTGGCTAGGAGTTTTGAATTTTTTAAGCAACCAGGTAACTTCAGCAGGCCTCTAGCCAGGGCCTTAAAACTAGGTCAAGATTGCATAATAAAAAAATAATAAAAGAGTTTTAAAATGTTATTACGGACACAACATGACAAACAAAATTTGATATTACATTTCCCCCAGCCCTACGCAGTCATTAATCTTTCTGTGTCTATGGATTTACTTATATTGGATCTTTTATATAAATGAATTATGCAATATGTGACCTTTTGTGTCTAGCTTCTTTACTTAGCATAATGCTTTCATGTTTTATTCATGTTATAGCATGTATCAGTACCTCATTTCTTTTTATGGCTTAATAATATTTCGTTCCATTGATATATCACATTTTGTTTATCTCAGTAAATAAACATTGGGCTGTTTCTTTTGGTTATTGTGAATAGTGTTACTAACGAATATTTATGTACAAGTTTTTGCTTTTGCTTTTGTTTCTTTAGTCTCAGCTTTTGTTTCTTTTAGATATATACCTGGGAGTAGAATTGCTGAAGAATATAGTAATTCTGTGCTTAGCTATTTTGGAAATAACCAAAATGTTTTCCATAGCAGCTACACTATTTTTGCATTCCCACCAGCAAATTACAGTGGTTCCAGTATCTCTAGGGTATCCTTGTTACTTTCCATTTTATTTTTAATCCTATCCTAATGGGTATGACTGGTATCTTATTGTGGTTTTGATTTGCATTTTTTAAAGACTAATGATGTTGAACATACATCTTTTCATGAGTTTGCTGCCCATTTGTATGTCTTTCTGAAGATATGTCTATCTGTTCACTAATATGAACAGATATACAACAGATATATGTATGTCTGTTCATGGTAAGTTCTCTGTTTATTTTAAATTTAGTTGTTTGTCTTTCAGTTGTCAAATTATAAGAGTTCTTTATATACTCTGGGAACTACATCAGTTTGAGATCATATAATTTGCAATGTTTTCTTTCATTCCATAGGTTGTCTTTTTACTTTCTTGATAGTGTCCTTTGATGCAAGAATGCTTTTAATTTTGACTAAGTCCAATTTTTCTATTTTTTTTGTTACTTGCACTTTCGGTGCCATATCTAAGAATCCATTTCCAAATCCAAGGTCATAAAGATTTATCCCTAGGTTTTTGTTTGTTTGTTTGTTTGATTGACACAGAGTCTCACTCTGTCGCCAGGCTAGTGCGCAGTGGCGCCATCTCAGCTCACTGCAACCTCCACCTCCCAGGTTCAAGCGATTCTCCTGCCTCAGCCTTCTGAGTAACTGGGACTACAGGCCCCTGCCACCATGCCCAGCTAATTTTTGTATTTTTAGTAGAGACGGGGTTTCACCATGTTGGCCAGGATGGTCTCGATCTCGACCTCATCATCTGCCCGCCTCAGCCTCTCACAGTGCTGGGATTACAGGCGTGAGCCACTGCGCCTGGCTATCCCTAGGTTTTCTTTTAAGAGTTTTATAGTTTAAACTCTTATATTTATGTCTTTGATTCATTTTGAGCTAATGTTTATATGGTGGGAGGTAGGGGTCCACTTTTACTCTTTTTAATATATGTTTGGATATTCAATGTCCCAGCATCATTTGTTGAAGAGGCTACACTTTCTTTCAATAAATGATTGGTCTTGCACCTTGTCAAAAATCAATTAGCCATAGATACATATGTTTATTTCTGAAATTTCAGTTCTACTTTATTTATCTATTTCTTTATACCTTAGGCAAATATATTTTGCTTACTACAGCTTTGTAGTAAGTTTCGAAATTGGAAAATGTGACTTCTCCAATGTGGTCTTCTTTACAAGATTATTTTTGCTATCTGGAGTTCCTTGCAATTCCATATAAATATTAGGGTAGGCTTTTCCATGTCTGCAAAAGATCATTGAACTTTTGTTCTGGATTGCATTGACTTCACAGATATTTTTAGGTGCTACTGACACTTTAACAATATTGAGTCTCCCAATTCAGGCATACAGGATGTCTTTCAATTTATTCAATTCTTATTCAATTTATGTCAGCAAAATATTATAGTTTTTCTACACAAATCTTTCATCTTCTTATAATTATTAGTATTTTATTATTTTTGATGACCTGTGTATGGAATTGTTTTCTTAATTTTTTTTGGATTGTTCACCACTAATGTACAAAAATACAACTGAGCCTTATGTGTTGAGCTGAATTCTGCAAGTTTGCTAAATGTGATTTTTAGCACTAGGAGACTGTTTTGTGAAATCTTTGGGATTTTCTATATATTAGATCATGTCCTCTGATAATAAAGAAAATTTGACTTTTTAATTTCTAATGTGTATGCCTTTTATTTCTCTTACTTGCCTAACTATTCTGGCTTGAACTTTCTGTACAATGTCAAATAGAAGTAGTAAAAGTGGGTATCCTTCTTTTATTTATGATCCTAGAGGAAAAGGTTTAAGTCTTTCACCATTATGTTTAGTATTACCTGTGGGTTTTACAAAAATGTCCTTATTCATAGTGAGCAAGTTTTCTTCTTTTTCTAGTTTAAGGATTTTTATCATGTAAGAATTTTGGACTTTGTCTATTGTTTGTTCTTCAACTGAGACAATCGTGTGTGTGTGTATGTCTTTATTTTATTAATGTGGTACATTAAACTGATTTATTTTCATATATTGTATTACATATGTATTCCTGGGATAAATGCCATTTGGTCATGATGTATAATCTTTTTAATATGCTGCTAGATTTGGGTTGCTAGGATTTTGTTGAGGATTTTTGCATCTATATTCATAAGGTATATTGGTCTATAATTTACTTCCTTGTGATATATTTATCAGGCTTTAGTAACTAGGTAATGCTGACATAGATGAGTTAGGAAGTGTTCCTTTCTCCTCTTCCTCTTCTTTTCCTTTTGGAAGAGTTTGAAAGTTTGAGAATTATTAGAGAGAGTGTGTGTGTGTGTTTGCTATAATTCACTAGTGAATCCACTTGGTCCTGGGCATTATTTATTTATTTATTTTGGTGGAGAGGGGAGGTGGTTAATTACTTATTCAATTTCTGTGCTTGTTATACACCTGCTCAGATTTCCTATTTCTTCTTGATTCCATTTTATCTAGGTTATCTAATTTGTTGGCAAGAATTTTTACAGTCTCAATGTATGTATTTTTATTTCTCTCTGAGGAAGTATTTGGGCCTCTCAGTGCTCATAATTCTGCTTTTCATTTTTGAGTATTGTCAGTTATGCTCATTTTACCAAAGAAAAATGTGTTTACTTTTACTAAGATATCACTTTCCTTCTACCTTATATTAGAGAGTTTTCATATTTTGGCTGCATGACATTTATAGCCTTTCTTAATAGCATCTCAATTTCATGATGAGGAATTATTTTTTCATGGGGAATTACTTTCCCTTGCATTGTACACCCATAGTGGATGGTTTCACAGAGTTTATGGCTCACACTACAGAAGCCAAGAGGTCCAAACTCTCATTTTGACCCTTGGAATAGTTAGAAGGTCACCAGCTGACTTAAAGGCAGGTAAGCAGAAGCACTGATCTAGGAATTTAAGATGTAATGGAGTAGCACAATAATGATGAAATAAAAGAAGGGCAGTCATTGCATTAATGGTCAGGCTTCTCTAGAGAAACAACCAGTAGGAGCGAGGAATAAGCGGGAGAGAGAGAGACTGATTTTAAGGAAAAGGCTCACACTATTTTGGAGGTACAAGTCCAAAATCTGCAGGGTAGGCTGGCAGGCTAAAGACCCAGGGGAAAGTTGCTGTCCCAGTCCAAAAGTAGTGTGCTTACAGGATTCTTTCTTGCTCAGAGGAGATCAGTTTTTGTTCTGTTAAGATCTTCAGTTGATTGCACAAGGCCCACCCACAATATGGAGAATAATATGTTTTACTGTAAATCTACCAATTCAAATGTTAATCTCATCCAAAAAATGTACATTTATTGAAAACATCTGGAATAATGGTTGACCAAATATCTGGGCATCATGGCCCCATAAGTTGACAATTAAATTAACCGTCATTTTAGCCCTAATAAGCTTTACACAAACGTTGCTTTTTTTTTTTTTTTGGTCTGCTAGAATGAATCCTTTCTTCCCATTCACAAGCCTGATCTTCCAACTGCCCAAAAACTCCACTTGCCCTGCTTATCATGTACCCAAGTTCACTATCAGGGAAAAACACAGTAAAACAAAGGGATACCAATTAAAACACATATAGAGAAAATTTTAAAGAATGACAATAAAAATGTTAACTAAATTGTGAGTTATACTAGGATTGAGTTTTGCTGTAAGTTACAGAAATAAACCAAATAAGTTGCTTAAACAAGCTTGCAGTTTACTTTTCTCTCACAGAAATATATCCAACTATCCCTTTGCTCTTCAGCCATCCTGAGTTGTGGCTTCCATCCCCAAGGTTGCTTCATGCTGTAAAATGGAAGTTAGAGCTGTAGCTATCGTATCAAGGTTACTGGAAGTTTAGTAAATAGCTTATTTGGCATTTTCTAAACTTCCAGCAACCTAGGTATGATAGCTGAGGCAAATGGCCAAATAGACTTCCTGGGTGAGGCAGTCTATTTCAAAGATATTTCATGGAAATCGCAGCCAGTAACTGCTACCTACATCTCATTAGAAATACAATGAGAAAAGGGAAATTGAGAAATATCTTCCAGCCTGTACACTGTCATCCAACTGTATAGGGGTCTATTACTAAAAAAGGAGGACAGTACTTGTATTCTTGTCCACAGTGGAGAAATGAGACTTCAGTATTGCCACTACTCCAGTAATAGAAATTGTTACAGGCACTCTGAAGAATAACTTGATGTTATCTAATAAAATAGTAAATGTGTATAACCCACAATCCAGTAAATACCCAACTAGGTATATAACCCCAATAGGAAAAATTTACATGCAGCTACAGAGGAAGGTATTCATGTGTGATTATTGTTTACAGTCAAATAAGCAGTTTTGTTGCCAGATATTGGAAACAACTCAGATGGCCAACAGAAGATGAAATGGTAAGTAATTACATTGTGAAATATCTATTTGATGGAACATTGTAAGTAAAAATGAATGAACTAGATCTACACATATCAACAGTAGCTTGATTAAACTAAAAAACTGATTAAAAAATAGGTTGTAGAATATTGTACAATGTATGGTACTGTTTGTGTGATTAAAAATATCATGTATTATTTATCAACACACATGCATATATATAATTATACAAATTTGGCTTATAGACACATGAAATTCATTACAAAGATTGTCTTTGGTAAAGGAGGAATGAAAATGGAACTGTTGAGGGGAACACAGGAGACATTTAACAATTTGTTTCATTTACTTTAAAATGTTCAAAAATAAATATAATACAAATTTAAATTTGTTCATTTTGTGACAATTATCAATAAATTATTTTCATATTCCATAATAGGAGAGTTAAATATCTAATTAACCATTAAAATACTTTTATTTAATTTACATATTTTCATCAACAATGAAATTATATATTTTACCTGCATTTTTGCTCAGTATGATTATGGCTTAAAATAAAAAACTCACAATTTTATTTTTCTGAAGTTCTTGCTTTGTTTTGAGACGGTCTCACTCTGTCATCCAGGCTGGATTGCAGTAGCACAATCATGAATCGCTGCAACCTCAACCTTCAGGGGTCAAGCAATCCCCACACATCAGCTTCAACCTCAAGGGGTCAAGCAAACCTCCCACCTCAGCCTCCCAAGTAGAGGAGACTACAGTCATGAGCCACCACATCTGGCTAATTTTTGTATTGTCAGTAGAGATGGGGTTTCACCATGTTACTCTAACTGATCTCTAGCTCCTGGGCTCAAGCGATGCACCCAAAGTGCTTACCACACAAAGTGCTGGGATTCCAAGCATGAGCCACCACACCTGACCTTACCTGGCTATTTTAAATCACCAAAATTTTACTAGAAGCTTGACTAAACATGCTTAATAATCTTAAATATAATGGTAAGAAAAGAAGACATAGTTAAAATGAATACCTACAGTTGGTAATGTGTAGAGATAAAGGGTGGGTCAATTTTAAGAAGAAAAAAACCTTTAAAGCTGTGTTAATTTCTTATGGTTGAAAAGTTTTTGCATAACTAAGTAATAATTTATGAAATGCTCATGCATTCGTTTATTCATTTACCTCCTTTTTTTTTTTATAATGGTTCTTCAGATCTTGAAGTTCCTGATTCCGCTTAGAGTCCAGTAGAGGGCCATGTTCATTCATGTAGTCTATGTCTGCTTGAATCTTTGCATTTGCTTCTTCTAACTCCATCTTTTGTTTTGCAAAATGTTCTAGTTGATTAACTTTATCTTCAAGATGCCATTGTAACTCTATAACATCTCTCAAACAGGCCTCGTGTTCTAGATATAGAAGGATAAGAACAAAAGAAAATCTGATTGGAAGAAATATTTGATAATACATAAATATAAATCATTTCAATGTCAGAAATTCCTTATCTGTGAATCAATTTTTTTTTTTTTGAGATGGAGTTTTGTTCTTGTTGCCCACACTGGAGTGCAAAGGCACGATCTTGGCTCACTGCAACCTCTGCCTCCCAGGTTCAAGCAATTCTTCTGCCTCAGCCTCCCAAGCAGCTGGGATTACAGGCATGTGCCACCATGTCTGGCCAATTTTGTAGTTTTAGTAGAGATGGGGTTTCTCCATGTTGGTCAGGCTGGTCTCAAACTCCCGACCTCAGGTAGTCCACCTGCCTTGGCCTCCCAAAGTGCTGGGATTACAGGCATGAGCCACCGCGCCTGGTCGAATCTTATTACCTCTAAAATAAAAGGTACTATAAAACATATTACTTTCTTAATTCATCATCAAAAAGATTAAAATATATGTTTCATAAGATAATAGTTATTTTACTATAAATCCTGTTTATGCTGTATGGTCAATGCATATTCTGATCATTCTATAAAGTACTCTATGTAACTGCTTCAAAGTGAGAACTGCAAGAGTCGAGGCCTTCCAAAACCACCTAGAAGGAAAATGATGAAATAAGACTTAAAAATATCAGAACGAAAAAGGCAAAAGTGATTATTATTTTCTTATAGAAAAACACATGAAATAGTGAAATGAAAATTATTACAAATAAGATAGTTCATGTAAAAGTAATATAAAAAATGCTTGCCTATATATAAATATGTTGAAAACAGAGTATCTCACAATAGCAAAACTAAAACATAAAATAAACTACATAAATCTATTAATAAACCTAACATGAACTGGGTAAGGTCTGAAAGGGGAAAGTGACAGCGTGCTACCAAACAACACAAAAGTGAATTTGAATAAATGAATAAAAATTCTTTTTTCTGTATAAAAATATTTGAAATTTTAGGTACAGAAATTTCCTCATATTAATGTATAAATTTAATTAAATCCCAATGAACAGACAAGGACAATTTTAGAAAAATTACATTGAAAGATTTTCTCATTATATTAAGTTCTAGCATTAACTGGTTCTTGCATTCTTGGAATAAAACTAAGTGGGTTAGTTTATTTTCTTTTTAATCTTTTTAAAATAAATTTCTTGGTGGAATTTACTGATGTCTTTACTTGGGATTTTCTGCATTTATACTTGTAATTTTGGCCTGTATTTTTCTATATTTGTACTGTGATCATTTAATTTTGATTTATAATTTATGATAGCTTCTTATATCAGCTGTAGTTTCTTTTGATTTCTTTTCTCTAAGGTGTTGTGGAAGTTTGAAATTGTATATTAAGCCCCATGGCCCTATGTATATATTTATTTATTTTGTGAGGAAGGATTTTTAGTTACTGGGTCAAAATCATTCCTTTAATGATTATATGAATATTTTGGTTATCTATGTATTCAGCAACCTATTTTTCTCTGTAAATTTATTTACTTTGTCAAAGTTTCAACATTATTCAAAGAAATTCGTTCTTAATGTCATCATCACTATTAATCACTGCTACATCCCTATGTATTTTCACTCCTAATCTGAATCAGTTATACATTCTCACTGTGTTTTTCATTTATTGTGCCATTGGTTTTACATTATGCTCTTTCTAGTGAGCCAACTTCAGCTTTGCATCTCTTCTGCATTATATAATTTTATTATTTTTCCATTTTGTTATTGGGTTTCTCCTTTTTTCTTTGTATTTATTTTGCTTTTTGTCTAACTTCTAAATCCATATTCCTGGATAATTAATTAAGTCCCTCTTTTTGATGTAACAAAAGCTACTGATTTCTCTTTAATGACTTGGATTTTTCCCATATGTGTAATGATAATTTTAATGATTTTTAAATAAAATACTTCTAAATATTTTTTATTTTTTGATACGTGCAATGTTTGATAACATCTTTTTTTATGTTTTTTACCCTCACCAACTAGACAGCAAGACTTTTGTTCTAAAGAGTCAGACATTATCTTGTTAAATATTGCCATTATTACTTTCATGAGGATCTTCTATTAAATATTCATGATGCCCTCTCATTCTATATGCCTTGTTTTAAATATTTGACTTACATTTTTCTCTCCTTGTCTTGATGTGATACATTCCATGCAATTTCTTCAAATTTTACAGTTAACTATTACTTCTCTGAGTCTAATAAACAATTTAACCAATCATTAAATTAATTTTATATATTTTTCATTTCTCATAGTTTATCATTTGTATATTTTGCTTTCTTTTTTTTTTTTTTTTTTTTCTGGAGATGGAGTCTCGCTCTGTCGCCCAGGCTGGAGTGCAGTGGCCAGATCTCGGCTCACTGCAAGCTCCGTCTCCCGGGTTCACGCCATTCTCCTGCCTCAGCCTCCCGAGTAGCTGGGACTACAGGCGCCCGCCACCTCGCCCGGCTAGTTTTTTGTATTTTTTAGTAGAGACGGGGTTTCACTGTGTTAGCCAGGATGGTCTCGATCTCCTGACCTCGTGATCCGCCCGTCTCGGCCTCCCAAAGTGCTGGGATTACAGGCTTGAGCCACCGCGCCCGGCCTATTTTGCTTTCTTTAAAAAAGTTTCTTGTCCTTGCTTTTTAAACCTTTTTATTTCTTGAAATGTATCAAACAGTTATTTTATAATATCAGATATAATCCTATATCTGACACATTTTGAGTAAAATTATGTGGTCTGCATCTACTGATTCACACCCATTGAACCTGGATCTTTGTGTGTTTTATGATTTTTAATATTGAGCTGCTTCTTTTCTTGGAACTTTATCTGAGATAAATTTTTAGTGCCTGGGTTGAAGTTTTAGTCTTGCAGAGCAAATTTGCCTTTTATCCCGTCAGTTGCCTGACTTTACTACTAACCTACAGAACATTTAAATGACATTCTCCACTGAACAGTTTTTAAGCACACAGACAGCAGGCAGTGGGGGGGTCACAAATCTATTGGAGATTAGTACATTACAAATGCTTAGGAAGCATTGTTTTCCTCCATTGTATAAGAGAAACAAACAAGTTTCTTGGCTGCTCAAGCTGAGCTGCAGGTTTATTCATGGTTCAGTCATAGGCTGAGGATTAGACCTTTGGATTCTCATTTTTATGTCCTGATCTCTGATTAGACTTGTCACTCTGGGTGAGACTTAAGCTTTATTTCCAGTATCCTGTACCTTACACATACATCAAAATGGCAACTCAAGGACATCAGGGTTTCAAGGATTCCCCCAGGGCTAAATCTAACACTGATGTCTATTTATTTCCAGAAATTTCCATTCCAAACTTAAATGTTGGCCATGCTACATTTCTTATGTTCTTGACAACTTGTTAGTGTATTTTAAATTTGAAAAATTAAACTACATGAGCAAATCTGACAATTGAAATAATAACTTTGATATGATTGGTTTATTTTCTGAATTAATAGTTAAAATGAACACCCTATTCTCAACAAGTCAATGAATAACTAGACAGAAAATTCTTGAGAGAAAACACTTGAACAGCACTATCAACCAAATTGACCTGATATTTATAGATAGTCTATATATATATAGACTATATATACCCAACAACAGCAGAGTATATATAAATTTGAACTAAACAGAACATTCTCCCAGATAAAATTTTAGGAAATTTATAAACTATAAATAATTTAAATATGAATGAAACATTTAAAAATGTTTCTATGGCCTTATAATATAGTTTGAAGTTGGGTAATATGATGCCTCCAGATTTGTTCTTTTTGCTTAGTCTTGCTTTGGCTATGCAGACTATTTTTTGGTTCCATATGAATTTTAGGATTGATTTTTTCTAGTTCCGTGAAGAATGGTGATGGCAGTTTGATGAGAATTGCATTGAATTTGTATGTTGCTTTTGGCCATATGGTCATTTTCACAATATTCATTCTACCAATCCATGAGCATGGAAAGTGTTTCCATTTGTTTGTGTAGTCTAAGGTTTCTTTCAGCAGTGTTATGTGGTTTTCCTTGTAGAGGTCTTTCACATCATTAGGTATATTCCTAAGCCTTTTTTTTTTTTCCAGCTATCGTGAAAGGGGTTGAGTCCCTAATTTCTCAGTTCGGACACTGTTGGTGTACAGGAAAGCTACTGATTTGTGTACATTAAGTTTTGTACACAAATTATCCTGAAACTCTGCTGAATTAATTTACCAGTTCTAGGAGCTTTTTGGGTGAGTCTTTAAGGTTTTCTACGTATACACTCATGTCATCAGCAAACAGTGGCAGTTTGACTTTCTCTTTACCCATTTGTATGCCCTTTATTTCTTTCTCTTATCTGATTGCTCTGGCTAGGACTTCCAGTACTATGTTGAATAAAAGTGGTGAGAGTGGAAATCCTTGTCTTGCTCCAGTTCTCAGGAAGAATGCTTTCAACTTTTCTCTGTTCAGCATAACGTCAAAACAGCATGGTACTGGTATAAAAATAGGCATGTAGACCAATGGAACAGAATAGAGAACCCAAATAAGCCAAATACAGCCAACTGATCTTCAACAAAGCAAACAACATAAAGTGAGGAAAGGACACCCTGTTCAACAAATGGTGCTAGGATAATTGGCAAGCCACATGTAGAAGAATGAAACTAGATCCTCATCTCTCACCTTATACAAAAGTCAACTCAAAATGAATCAAAGACTTAGATCTAATACTTGAAACCATAAAGATTCTAGAAGATAACACTGGAAAAACCCTTGTAGACAATGGCTTAGGCAAAGACTTCATGACCAAGAACCCAAAAGCAAATGCAACCAAAACAAAGATGAATAGATAGGACTTAAACTAAAAAAGCTTCTGCTCAGCAAAAGAAATAATCAGCAGAGTTAACAGACAACCTACAGAGTGGGAGAAAATTTTCACAAACTATACATCCAACAAAGGACTGATATCCAAAATCTACAAATAACTCAAACAAATCAGCCAGAAAAAAAAAACAAATAACCCCA